GGAGGATCAAAAGATAGACAAATCCTTATTATAAACAAGTCATCATGGTGCTTTTTTAAGTAGGATCAAAAGATAGACAAATCCTTATTATAAACAAGTCATCATGGTGCTTTTTTAAGTAGGATCAAAAGATAGACAAATCCTTATTATAAACAAGTCATCATGGTGCTTTCTTAAGTAGGATCAAAAGATGACAAATCCTTATTATAAACAAGTAATCAAGGTGCTTTTTAAGTAGGATCAAAAGATAGACAAATCCTTATTATAAACAAGTCATCATGATGCTTTTTAAGTAGGATCAAAAGATACACAAATCCTTATTATAAACAAGTCATCATGGTGCTTTCTTAAGTAGGATCAAAAGATAGACAAATCCTTATTATAAACAAGTCATCATGGTGCTTTCTAAGTCAGATCAAAAGATAGACAAATACTCATCAAAAACACACCAAAGCCTGAACACATATGGAAGGTAGACTTTCCCTATTCAGAGTTTTAATTAATGCTGAAGAAGAAAAGATTGTTTTTTTTGAAATACTAGAATCATTAGGTTTCTTCACTGGTGATTTTGAAAACTCTTAGTTCCATGATAATGGTATATAAACGTGGACAACAGAGAACAATTCTACAAATTATCATCTAGTCTGTACGAGATATACATAAATAAAAATTATTTTGATTATCCAGACTGAGCTTTCCTTAAACAGGTTAAACATGAAAAAAACATACATGGTTACAATACTCTAGTTGAGGTAGTTTTCTTTAAATAGTTCTGGTTTGCAACAATCAGTGTTTTAGATATTTTCCTAACTACATAACCACCAGTAATTATTAACTAATTATTTCTCACGTTTATTTACACGGACTTTCTTTTTATTTGTCGAAACTAGTGCATTATACAAAGAGACAATAATAGCTCTTATAAACAGAATTTTTTATCCTGTTTTATGTCATACAAAGGCCGTGCACAGGAAAGTAAATTTGAATGATATTTGGGGGAGTGGGAGAGCATGTTAAACATGCACATAAATATATATCTATATCTATACAAGCAAGTAAATCATATACAAAGACATCGTCACATTCACCCAAATGACATACTGGTATGTTTTATTTTTACTTCATTTATTTAGTTGAGTCATATTTTTTGTACATGTACTAAGCATTTTGCCAGCAAGTGTGCTTTAAAAAGTGTTTTTTTCAAACAAAAATATTCCTGTATTATCTTACCTGATATATCCGTAACTTCTTTTACTGTAGTGCTGTAAAATTGTAAACAGATTTTAATCAACGACATTTGAATATCTGAAAATTTACATCCACATTATTTTATTGGTAAACCACAGGTATTCTTTCATGAATCAATCATTTGATGAAGTTAACCCAATATGGTAAACACATGTACAATTTAAACTTAGTGTTTAAATATTGTTATCACTCAAAGAAAATCTTGAGTCACGTGTTGTTGTTTTTTTTATTTTATACCACTCATCATGCATTTAATCTCATTATAAAACTTGTATTGTTAAATAAATAATACATACATTCAAATAACAATGTCTTTTTGATTAAAAACTTGAAACATTTTAAACTTTACAATACTACTTTGTCCTGTATCCTCAAACAACATTTGTTCAAAAAGTTTTACATGTTGCTTACACAGCGAGTGTTTTACATGTTGCTTGCATAGTGAGTGTTTTACATGTTGCTTGCATAGTGAGTGTTTTACATGTTGCTCGCATAGCGAGTGTTTTACATGTTGCTCGCATAGCGAGTGTTTTACATGTTGCTCGCATAGCGAGTGTTTTACATGTTGCTTACACAGTGAGTGTTTTTCATGTTGCTTTTGCAGTTTATAATTTCACGCCCATATATTTCTATAGTGTACTTTCTGTACAAATCACAAGTGTTTTCAAGGTTTCTTTTCTGACTTTTCTTTTACGTACACACACCGGCATATCAAAATACAACACTAGTTGTCAAGAATATACATAAAGTCAAACCTGTCAAGAAGAAGGGTTGGATAATATTGTAAAGATGAAAACTTGGTTGAAAAGAAAATGTCTGTTTTATCTGATTTTAATTTGTCACCACTGTTAACAATGTTGTTCACATATATTTATGAAACAAAAATTATGATAATAATATATAAAACTACACAGACAAATGTTACTGAAGTTTAGTAATAATTTTCCTTACTTAACATGAACTGTGATTTAATAGTTTTCATAAAGAAAACAATAGCAGTTGTTCGAGTTTACCACAGTTTGTAAACTATTTAATATTTATGTACTATATATTTCTTAAACTAGAAGTTTCATACTAATGTTTATTTTATAACATTGAAATACTTCTGATTGTGCAACAATAATCATTAAATGTTTGGTTAAGTTTTTTTATGAATAAGAATTCTGTTTACCATATCAAAAATAAATATCATTATTTTGATATTAATCCAATTAAAGATGATTTACAATTTCTTGTTTTTCCACATCAATGTAGCTGTAGCACTAATTTATTCTATTCCTTCTTATTTGCTAATGTTAAAAAAAACATTTCACTTTAATAATTGTTGAACAATTCATATACGAAGTTAAATCTTTCACTGTTGATTTCATTAATGATATGAATGTTTTTAAATTTTTACAACTGAAAGAGCACAGTGTTTTAAAGTAAGGTAACTTATGTGATAATAACCAGTGAATAACAAGAGATTACACCAATGAACAGAGTTGTTTAAACATTTGTTTAACAACAAGTAAATGCTTAGAATGGTCTATTCTTTCATATGTGGTGTGTTTGTGTTCAAATGTTTAAACAACTCTGTTCAACTATGTATCAGCTGCCTAGTGTTGGCTAAAAATACGAAGAATTAAATTTTGAAGTAATGCTACAAGTTCTTCAAATACCTATAGAATGATAGGTTTCTTTTTTTGTGAGTGTAAAACCTTTAAAAACACAATTTCGAAGAGATTACATCATTAAAGCAGGTTTCAGACTTTTTAAAGAACTGAAAGTAAGTATAACTTTTACTTCTTATTTACAAAAACATAAATACAAACTAAATTACCACAAAAGCATTAACAAAAATACTGTTAACTATTGTCAAGTGTTAGTCACTTCCAATTTACATTTCTATACTCCTATAAAAAGGCCAATGTATTTTAAGTTTTTGAAGGCACAATCTGTTGTATAAGTAACTGCTTTTGGGTAAGTTTTTGAACATATAAATAACAGACTTTAGTTTTGTTTACATGAGTACTATTAATACTTTCAAAATGAAAGTTACAAGAAACACTTCTGCAAAATAAATATATAAAAAAATAAAAAATGTATGAGTACACACATGTACCTTTCTATCACTTGCTGCAGGAGAGTCTGAATTCACAGACATGGTTTGGGGACTTGTTTGAATGGACCTGAAAGAAAACAAGAAACAGTCATATATATGACTAAAATTTCTAATCAATTATCTTCATATCTAAACTTTGAAAACATCAAATATTATTTCATTTTAAATAAGTTTCTTGTCAAACCTGGATTAATTTATTTAATATCATGTGAAAACATGTACTGCAAAAGTGTCTTGATAATTTGTATGGGTTTTTTCAACCTCATATAAAGGAATTAATGGTATGTGTATCTGGTCTAATACTGGAAATAAGTAAACAAGTTTAAAACTTTAAAGAAAAATGTAATGAATTATGACCTTCACTGCCTAGTCTCAAATATGTCTAACGTAATTCCTCACCAGACCATATAAATGTAAATATTCCTTATTAAAATTCCTTTTGAGTTACCGCACCACAAAAACACTTCTTACTGTTAATACTATTGTATTACTATTAGTAACGTTATTTACAAAGTAACATCGTATTCCAACTATTCGAAATCGAATGTATTATCACTGTGAATAACATAGTACCAAATAGTAATAATATTAGTAATAGTAGTATAGGCCAAAAGTAGACTAAAACTTAACTACTGACTTGTTCATATTCTCAGTTCATAATCATACTACAGAACGCCGGGCCGAATGGTCAACTGTATGAACTACAAGTGTAACGCTAACGGCTATTTGCGCAGTACGCCTTCGTTCAGACAAATATACTATTAATGGTTGGAGACGGCTTGAATGGGTAGTGAAGAAAAACTTTAATATTAGTTTAACATAACAGCAAACGTACAACGTTTCTAGAAGGTTTTGTCATCATCAGGTACTACTAGGTAATACTATTAACATTACTAAGTATTGGTACTCACGTTAGAAGGTAATACTAATACAAAAATAATAGATAAAAAAAATCAAATTTTCGATTTATGTAAACAAACTCTAAGATGTTCATTTTCGTAAACAGTTTCTTTAAATCCATGAGGTATTACCAAATTCCTCAGCTTCAGTCTGACGTTAAATTCGCTCATATTTTTTCAAGATCGGAACATAAACTAATAAAGCACCAGCTTCGCGATACAAATTAAGTTCAATTTTATATAATCAGAGTAATCGCCCTCTGGTGGCCTCTACTGGACTCAACTAAATAATTAACATTTTCAAGTAGACAGGCAATTACACATTACATTCAATTCTTAATTCTATTTAGTCGTAAGCCTTTCAGCTTTTCCAAAGTATTGTTTGTTGATTATGGAGTGAACTTGACAAAAATTTTCTAGTTAAATAGATTTGGCTGAATGCTTAAATTAGAAGCTTCGAAGCCAACAGTAAAAGTTTAATACTGTTTGAACAATACTACACGTCAGAACACTAACTAATTAAAACAAATATAAAGAGAGGTTAGTATGAAGCATTTACTAAATACATTTAATCAAAAACTTTATTTGTTTACTCTTATTACCAATACAGAAAGCATTCAACCCGATATGAAAATATTTATATCAAGCTGTCATTAAATTCAATTACACGTACGTACGTATGCAGGATTATTTTATAAGGGTCTTACCTTTGAAAAATTTCCAAGAATGAAATATAACAAGTAAATGAGCCAATTTGAAAGAAATATTCAGAATGTTTCATTAAGTGCAATTTAGGAATACTTTTCACATTGTTTCCATTCAATAAAAATAAATTTAATTAATACGTTGAGTTATTAATAAGTCTGTTTGTTAAGCTCAGAGCTACACAATAAGGTATATATCTCTACCCATCGCTGATATTAAAATCCGGTTTGTAGCATTATAAGCCATTCAGACTTACAGCTGAGCCGTGGGGGGTGGGGGAATAAGAGCTCTCTGAACTGTTTACAACTCAGGATGGAATGATCTATTCAAAATTAACGTATCGAGCTGCCCAACTAAGCAACCCATTTATATGTGTATGAACGACATTCTTATATGGTAGTTTTAATTATTAATTTGTAAACATAACCATAATACATTGTGTATTAAACCAACTGGATTAATGAATTTAATAAGGTATTTGTAAAACTTGTGATTTAGAAAAAATGGCAACCACCTAAGCATCTAATGTATCGAATATTCATAAACACAATTGTTTCAGCACCCAAGAATTTCGATTAACTTTCAATTATTTAATAGTAAATTACAGCCTATCATAACTTTTTTGTCAAAAAGGTTGATTTAATTCTTACCTATATACGTACATTAAGAAATCTCTGCCTCGTTTCTCAAATGTCTCCATAGGAGAGTTAAGTATAACAGGATTTACGGTAACATCATCAACAAAATATGTAAACAAAACATCTAAACGAAAGTGTAATAATGAAATTAGAGACAACAATCAGGGTATCATAAGACTGCAAAACACAAGGACTTATTTTGATAATTTTATCTCATTTTCTTATATTCCTCGGTTATACTTAACGCGCTTTCTGTACAGACTGATAAAAAACTGGGCACACCAACAATACCGGTACACTATACCATATTTATTAAAGTGACGTCACTAATCTTGATGTTAATCAAATAAATTATTAAAAATACACGTTAAACATAAAATTGCAAAATACTGTACATAGTAATGGATAAAACATTCGCTATGTATACATCAAGATGGTTAAGTATGATTTAGAAATTATTGTCATTACGTTTGTTATATATATTAATGGTAAGATTACGATTTTTAGACCGGCATGAACAGATGGTTAGGGTTCGAATTCCCACCCTATCAGCCGTGAGGGTGTTATATGTGACCGTCAATCCAACGTGACAATCAATACCAAATCGTTGGTAAAAGAATAGACCAAGAGTGTCGGTAGGTGGTGATGACTTCCCTCTAGTCTTTCATTGCTAAATTAGAGACGTAAGGACGCGGCTAGCGCAGATAGCCCCCGTGTAGCTTTGAGGGAAATTCAAAACAATCAATCAAATTTTCGAGTTTAAATAAAATACCTCAAAATTAAAAAGAATTAGATGAAAGTTGGATGCAGTTTTTCAACCTAAAGTTAATTTAGATTAATTTACTTAAGCAAGCATCCTACCTCCTCAGTAGCAGTGATAAGTCTGAAAGCTTATAACGCTAAAAGCCGGGTTTCGATATCCCATTGTGTAGCTTCACGCTTAACAACAAACAAACATGCTAACTAACTAACACAATTTACCAGAGCCTGTAATAAATCTGAACTTAAGTAAGTTTAAGGAACTTTAGAATTCCATAAGTATGAGGTAAATTAAATGATTTTTAGTGAAATTTTCAAGTTACTATTTTGTAATTAAACATTTTGATAATATTGGCTACAATTATCAATCTAAAACTATATTATATGTAAGTGGTTTCTGGCATCAGAATTCATGTATAAAACGTATATAGGGCTTTATTTATATTTTGTCTATTAATGTTGTCTTCTCTGCTGAGGATTTTAACCTGAGAAGAATCAAAAGAATGATTGTTCCTAGACATGTGTTAAAAACATGAGATGGAGATTTTATATGTTCACGAATGTTGTTTGTTTGTCTTACCAATATAACAGCTTTTTGTTTGTCTTACCAATATAACAGTTTTTTCAATGCGTACATACTGTTGCATATACATTTCCAGAAGTATCATTATCTGCATACTTTTTGGATAGCAGTTGACCTAGCTTTTTTCCAAAAACCCTCTTGAAGTAATGATGATAAAATTATACACGACCCTAGAGTAAATTTACACGAGGAAACAAGTAAACCTGCCTTACATAAATTTTCGATTCATGTTAACAAACTCTGAAACATACACTTTCGTAAACAATTTCTTTAAATTTATGAGGTATTACTCAAATTTCTCACCTTCAGTCTGATATATACTGACATGAAATTCATTCATATTTTTCCAAGATCCAGATTCGCGATAGAATTTAAGTACAATGTTACACAGTCAGAGTAGCGGACTCTACTGGACTTAATTAAATATTTTACCCTCTTCTGAAGCAACTTAGAGTTAATAACAAAGAATATGTATCATAATTCTTTATACTAATATGAGTCTAAAAAGTTAGGGTTAAATTATGTCTGTCCTTAGAATTAATAGAAATATGGGTTGTTGAAGAAAAAATTACATATCCAATTACTAGAAGGTAAATGATTTTTTATTTGTAGACAAATTTTAAACCTTGACGTTCTATTTATACTCTTCTATTTTGTTGTAATAAATTTTTCTTTGTAGCAGGTGTTTAAAATTGTTTTTTTGTACCTTCCGTTCCTGATGGGTCAGTGGTAAGTTCCGGACTTATAACACTAAAATTCTATAAGTGTGATTCCCCGGAATGAACAGAGGGCAAATAGTCCTTTGTGATAAAACACAACAACCTTCAACTTAAAATTGTTTTAAGTTAAAATATTCTGTTTTATATTATATAGGAAAGTTTTATATTGTATATTACAGAAACCGGGTTTCGCCCTTTGTGTAGCTTTGTGCTCAACTACAAACAAACAAACAAATTAGGCTACAAATAATTTGCATTGGAGAAAGATTGCCTCAAGCAATACATGTACGTTAATCAGCTATTCTTGAAATGCAGGAAAACTGGTCTAAACCGGGGAATTATGTCGAGAAAAAAAAGAAGGACAAAATGCCTTTCCTCCCGCAGAAACTACACGAACGAAATCTACAGGTAGAAACAGTAAACTATATGGTAGAGGTTCTTAAAACTGTCTGTTTCGTGCTTTATGTGTTAATTTATCTTATACCCTTTGTTCTAAATTTCTTTTGTTTGTTTCATACTTTATGTTATAATGTTTGATTTATACATTATGTCTTAAAGTTTTTGTTTAGTTCATACTTCATGTTCTAAATGTTTAATTTATAATTATGTCTTAAAGTTTTTGTTTAGTTCGTACTTCATGTTCTAAATGTTTAGTTTATACATTATGCCTTAAAGTTTTGTTTGTTTCATACTTCATGTTCTAAATGTTTAATTTATTCTGTTATGTCTCCGTTCGTTGGTTAATTTGACGTAAAAATTCTTTCCGAAGAAACTTTATCAATAGAAATCCTTTCTTAAATAAAACTGGTTTATTCTTTCTGAATATAACTTTGCGATACACTTAATTTCAACAGTCGCGCTATAACAAACGCTATAATTCTCAACGAACGTCTCACGTGCTCGACTCAACAATACTCCGTTCAATTACACACATTGTTGCCGTCAATTTGTGACCGTCTTATATATATACAAGACTACACTATATCTAGAAGGATCCCGAGATTTAAGGAAAGGACGTGAATGTTCGAGAACGACGTGGCGTGATACTAGTCACGTGACCTCTGCTGAAGCAACAATACATTATGCTTTAAAGTTTTGTTTAGTTCATACTTTATGTTCTAAATGTTTAATTTATACTTTATGTTTTAAGTTTTTGTTTAGTTAATACTTTATGTAATAAATTTTGTTTAATTTACATTCTATGTTCTAAATTTATTTTATTTATTTCATAATTTTGATTCGAAATTCCTTTTGTTTTATTCAAATTTGTTCGTTAAACAATCACAAATGTGTACATCTATGTCTAACAGAAAAAGCACAAAAAAAGCATTTTTTCTGTAGAACTGGAAAAGTCTAGAAATTAAGGTTAATTTGTATATTA